CCCTCCTTCCTCCCCCTCCCTCCTTCCTCCCCCTCCCTCCCTAGTTATAGTTATTAGAGATTAGTTAATTTTTAGGTGTTTTAGTTGAATTTGTAGGTGTTTTAGTTAAATAATGTAGGTGTAGGTGTTTTAGTTAAAAAAGTAGGTTCTTAGAATAATGTAGGTGTTCTTAGAATAATGTTGAATTTGTTTTAAGTGTATTTAAAAGAGTTTTAGGTGTTTTAGTTGTTTTAGGTGTAGTTAACAGAATTTTAGGTGGTTTAGTTGTTTTAGGTGTGGTTAACAGAATTTTAGGTGTTTTAGTTGTTTTAGGTGTAGTTAACATAATTCTAGGTATTTTTTTAGTTAAAGCAATTGTTGTTATTTTTTTAGTTAGGCTTCAGTCCCCCGCGCAGGTGGTTCAACACCGTGTCATGGAGGAGAACGCGCACATCCAGCACTACTTGGTTGCATTGGCGAACGGCCGGATCTCCAATACCTGGTAGATTATTTGGGGATCTCACCGGAGCTATGATCCGGTGATGGTTCCTTCTCTTTGGGTGTCCACCGCGGCCCACTGAACCTAGAGGAGCTATTATTCGAGATGTATTAGTGATATTATATGATGATCTTTGCTACAAACTACTATATATGTATTCGATGGTGGATTATTAATTACCTATTAGTTATTTGCTTATTGAATGCAAAAGATGAGCGCGCTTTGTGCTACAAACTACTACATGTGTATTCATGATGGATTATTAATTACCTATTAGGAAATGTCTGACGACGAAAGGGAATTCGCTATGTGCGATTACTGCGAAGATAAGCGCGGTATGTGCGACAGGCCTCACCTGGTAGAAGGTCGGCGCTTCAGCATCAAGCTCCAAGAGACCTTCGATGTTGATACGGTACGCAATGATGACAAGTGTTTTTTTGTTATTTTTGCACGACTTCTCTGCTTCTTTAACGTGTAATTTCCGTCTTTTACAATTTCGACTAGCTTATCCCATGCCATGCAAGACGCTATGTCTTGGAGAAGATGGGTTTTGAAGATCATGAAAGCACGGAGACAAAGATAATTCAACTAAGGACCCATCATGGTTATGATTTTGCTGTAAAACTATACAATTCTGTGAACTCATCCAATTTTGGTTGCCCGAATTGGGAAGCCCTTTCCAAGGCATATGATTTTCATGAGGGTATGCTTCTCACCTTCGATCTTGGTGAGTTTCTTAAATATATTTACTAAGTAATTTATATTGTTTATTTCAAAATATTTGACAGCTTATTGGAAAGCCATGAAGCCATGATAATAAATGATTGAAAAAAATGTTTCAACCATCGTAGAGAGCTACTTGGAAGCAACATTGTGCGTAGGCCAAGACTTGGAGACAGGATGATCTCCTTTCTTCACTATGGAGAGTTCAGTTTCCTTAATGAAGAGTCAATGTCTATCTTGTTTTATGATATTTTACCTAAGAGAGGGTAGAGTAGGTCCTATGAGAGGAGTAGGTCCTAGGTAGAATGTGTTATTATGTGCTATAATGTGTTAGAGTTGATGAGGAGGATGAAGAGTTGTGATTATGACTAGTGACTAACTTGTTATATATATGATGTCTCATTGACGAACATTGTTTGATGGTGATGACTGGTAATGAATATGCTATTTAAACAGACTAGTTCATGATGAGTTGTTATTGTATAAAAGATATATCTGGTTAAACATGTACAACGTCAAAATATTAAAAAACACATAAATGTTAGCAATAGCGCTAGCCTAAAAACGCGCTACTAGTAGTTGAACTTACCAGTAGCGCTGGTCTAGAAACGCGCTACTGCTACAAAATAGTTGTAGCGCCGTAGCAGTAGCGCTGGTACCCGCGCTACCGGTAGCACAAAAATAAGCGCTAGCTACTGGTAGACACAATTTTTTATGTGTCCGCTTAGGCCTGCAAACACGATTGACATAAATCCTTTGGTCTTGGAGGAATGATGCAACATTGCCTTGCCGGAGTCCAAAGCGCGAACTGGACAGTACCAGAGTATTTGCTTTTCTAACTTTTGTTCCCTTCATCAATGAAAGCAGCGTGCTGCCTTTCATTTGAAAAATGTTTAAAAGAAGGATGTGACCTGTAGCATGAAAACAAGAACAGACAGACTTCCCACCACTGCCAAGTGAAATTCATTAGTTCATCATGCGTTATCTTGTCAGCAAAGGTGATCACATCTGTTTTTTTAGAAAAGGAGGATGACCCCCGGCCTCTGCATCTGGGCGATGCATACGACCACTTTATTAATTATTCTCAAAAGACCTTACAAAATCAATACAACAGTAAGACTAAAGCCGCCGTTTAAGCAACAAACTGCCGTTACGCCTATCCAGTTGATGAAGGGATCTGGGCCCACTAGTAGAAAAGAGGGCTTTGGTTCAGGCCGGGTCAGCCCATTAGTCCTGGTTCAGTCCAGAACCGGGACCCATGGGGGCATTGGTCCCGGTTCGTGAGCCCAGGGGGCCGGCCGAGCCACGTGGGCCATTGGTCCCGGTTCGTCTGGACCTTTTGGTCCGGATTGGTGGGACGAACCGGGACCAATGGGCCTGGCTCCTGGCCCACCACCATTGGTCCCGGTTTGTCTGGACCTTTTGGTCCCGGTTGGTGGGACGAACCGGGACCAATGGGCCTGACTCCTGGCCCACCACCATTGGTCCCGGTTGGTGGCTTGAACCGGGACAACAGGCTGCCCTTTAGTCTCGGTTCGTGCCACGAACCGTGACCATTGAGGTGCCTATATATACCCCTCGCCCGCGAGCAGAGCACTCCACTGCTCTGTTTTTCTCTGGCTGAGGAGGGGAGGGCTTTGTGGTGCTCTAGCTCACCTCCTATGCACATGAGGTGTTCGATGAAATGCCCGAGCCACACTAGTTAAGCTTTCTCCTCTCGAAGCACGACCTCCGAACTCTATTTTTCCCGAGATTTGTCTAGGTTTATACTAGCGGCCCGTCACACCCCGTCCCCATCTTCACTATCGTCGATCGCCCACGCCGATCTCGTCGCCGGCACCACCATGGTGAGCCTCTTGTTCTTATCTTCTTTCTAAAAGAAAAAAAATTCTTGCTTTAGATATATACTTGTCTAATTTTCTTATTATTTTATTGCTTGTTATTATATAGTGCGATGGTTTTGGTATCCGCCCCTGTCGGCCCTCGTCCTGTCTATGATTCGGATGTTGTATATATTATCTTTATAACTATTGCTTCATTTATTGTTTATGAAAATTATGCCGACCAACGTGACATAGATTTTATTTATCTAGGAGGTATGTGAATCGGAAATTCCAACCGACCCTATTGTCGAGAGGTTAAATTTAGTTGAAGAAGAAAACAATTTCTTAAAGGAAAAAATAAGAAAAATTGAGGAGGAGAAGATGATATTGGAGTTGCATGTTGCGGATGTCGTCGATGATCACAAGATCAAGATGGATGCAATGCGCTTGAAGATTAGAAAGATTAGAAAATATGCCATTCATACCGAGGCTTGGTATCATTATGCCGTTGGATCAATTGTTACCTTGGTTGCGATTATGATCGCATTTGTTTTCACATTGAAATGTTTTACATAGTTTCAATGTTTGGTTTAATTAATTTAGATGCTCTGGAGAGCTTTATGTTGTTAGATGAGAACTATGTATGTACTTTGGT